CCTGCACGTAGAAGTTCCAAATGAAAAACAAAGATGCTTACAGAAAATGTTTGCAAAATTGGGATTTTTCTGTGCAAAACAGATTTTTTTTCTTCCAAAAAGATAAAGAAAATAAATCTTTCTCTGATCATATTCAGAATGACTCTCGAAGTTCACCTTGTTTAACTGTTAAAGGAAGACTTTAATAAAATGTGTTGCAATAGCTTTTTGAAATGTAGTTTGAAAAGTAACTTGAGACGGTGGGAAATGTAAAGGAAAGGTTTTCTGTTATGCTATGAACTTTCTACAACTCTGGAAAAAAACGCAGATGCTTTTGTGAGAATTGCTCAGAAGGATTTAAATTACAAACCTATAGAATTAGGAATTTAGAAAAGAGACCAATTACTGACCCTTAGCTAATAAAGATATTTAACTCCTTTATTAAATTCACTGTTGGCATTATAGGCTTGGAAATACTGAGAAGAGGTTTACAACTACAGTTTGGTTCAGGATTAGATTTTGATGTGATTTACTAGCATTATCTGAAAGACTCCCCAAAAAATAAAACATGCAGTAAATATAAAATTTCTCATTATCCTCATTTAAAAATATATATATATTTCTAGTGGAATTTGCTCTAGCTATATGTATATATATATATATATATATAAAACTACCAATTCTATTTTTATTAATAAATATTTTAATTGAGGTAACCTGTATTTATCTGTGCTATGTGTAAGAAAAAATTGTAGACTTTTTGTGTTTTTCTTCTAATCTGTACTGGTTTTAATTACTTGAATTTTAAAAAAAGAAACACGGTCAGAAGATTTCATCTGCAAACATCTTCCCCTTCCATTTTCTTTCTTTCTCTTCAAACTAAGAAACAGAAGACTTAAAACTTATTTGAAAGTTATTAAAACAAAATGTCATCGACAGCCTAAGAAGTTGAAAAAGAAAGTTGTCACTGACATTTTACCTATGCAAAAAAGATTTCTAATCTTAAGACATGGAGGTAAAAATGACAGATAAACAGAGAATAGAACTACAGTATAAAGGTGTCACTTCTCTTTTGCAACTCCAGCTGCTTTTCTCCTTAGCCTTATTCAAATTTATTGCTGATTTTTTTTCAGGGCTATAAAATCCTGGAGTATAACACAACCTCACACAATGCTTCCCTCGACTTTTATAGCAGAGGCATGATTTACTATTGCAATAAAACCCTGCTATCAGTATTTTCTAACTGCTTTCATCTCTTTTGTTTATGAATAAAATGTAAAATGAGATTCCCATCTGAATATATAATTGAAGGCACAGTTACTTATATGCAAAATACTTGAGGAAACTGAAACAGATTTGGCTGTGTTAGTTTAACACTGAAATGAAAACATCTCATGACATATAATTCTAATCTGTGATATCAGCAACCTCAGAATTTAAGACTGCTAAAACCCATGTGACTCCATGTTTGAGTTCTGCATCAAAAAATGATACAATTGCTGCTAATTTCATAATATACAAAGGTTGCCCTGAAAGTAATGCCTCTTATTTTATAGTGTTGGCCAACTATGTCAGAGATGCATGTTGGTGATATGACAGTAGATGTTGAACCTTCCTGCCAATATTCTGTAAAATTTTGTTGCTGTGTGACAGATGGCAGCAGAGGGGCAGCCTGACAAAATGGTATCTAACACAGAAGCGCACATTAAGCAAAGGTGTGTCACTGAATTCCTCCACGCAGAAAAAAATCACACTCTTTGACATTCATCACTGCTTGCTGAATGTTTATGGTGACCTATCAGGGGATGTGAGCACTGTGAGGCAGTGGGTGGTGTGTTTCAGCAGTGATGACAGTGACATGAAATATATGGTGATATATAAATTTTCCATTGAAGAAAAAGTTCAAAACACAGTCCTTAGTGTGTGAAGTGATGTGAACCGTATTTTGGGTTGGGAAAGGTGTGATGCTTCTGGATTTCCTGGAACTCAGACAAACCATCAACTCTGACTGCTATAGGACAACTCTGTTTAAGCCGAGGGCTTGAAGTTCCAGAGGAGAAGACAACCTTAATTTTGGAACACAGTAACACCAGGTCCCAAACCAAGACTGTGGAACGCAGAACCGTTCTTCCACAGCCACTGTATAGTCCAGATTTGTCATTTTCTGAATTCCTTCTGTTTGGACAAGGAAAAAAAAAAAGACATTTTATTCATAAAAAATACTGCCACTCATCAATAAATAATAAAAAAAATTCCACACTGGATCTGACTTTTTTTTTTTTTTTTTTTTTTTTCCCCCCCCCAACTTTGAATTAAAAATGGAAGTATGGAATTAGGAAAGAATAATAAAGAACAATACTGCACATTTCTTTCAGATGTGATCACTTTGAATGCCACATCTTGGAAGCTTTGGCATTAAACCTCCTTCCCCATGGCTCAAAATGAAGTTTGGTTTATAATAAATTCAGTGAGGTTTTAAACACAGGCATGTACATTGGAGATGCAGCTTAGCATAAAGCTTGCAGTCTAAAATGCATGGCATGCAGAAACTGTCAGATACACAGTATGGACACAGAAAATGGACTTATGTTCTAACTTCCGTGTGCAGGGTTTTCAACATGGAACTAACCTAGGCATTGAGATGTAAGCATATTCTGCTGTTGACTTTATGCTTTTATTGTGGTGCTCACACCAAACCTACATAGTGTTTCTCTGCTGGCTTCTCTTCTCAAATGAACAGTGGGAACTGCATTTACTATTTGCTACTAATTCTTTCTCCTGTTTGCTGTCCTGTCAGATTTATTTGAAAGATTTTTTGGAGCAGTAGAAGAAGTACTGTTATACAAAGCCTGCCATTTCTAAGAAGTGTTTATTATTACAGCTCTTTGAATAACTTTTTTTTTTTTTTTCAAGGAGGACCTTAAGCTTTTGAAATGTGTCTTCCTACTGAATTGCATCTAAATCTAAATCTGAAAATTCATAAGAAGAGATTAAAAAAAAAAAACAGACTAATCACTTTTATTTAAATTCTATTTTGCACTGTGATACACAGAATAAATACAAAATAGAACAGGCTGACTTGTGGCTGCCTGTGACAGCATGGTTTTGGATTTGCTAACCTAGTAGATCCCTTTCAATTCCATGAATAGCAATTTCAGAAGACAGGATTAAAGACAGTTGACATCGTCAGCTTTTTGCTTCTTTGAAACAAAATTTCAGCAAAATTAAAACACTGAGTTGTTTCACTGTTACAGTAGAAAATGAATGCTTCCAACAGTTTTTTCTTCAAAATATGTTTAATATACTTCTAGAAAATAACTTGTACAAGTAATTACACTGCCATTTGGTAAGCAGTACGCATACAGAATAAAACTTTCAGTTTGTGCCAGCTTTTTTCATCAACATTAATTACTAGAAGGTGAAACTGTGCTGCTGCAGTTGAATTGCTCTTAACATATCTCAGTAATCCTGTAACTATCCTCTGCCTGCATTTTTTTCCCCTAAATATGGGCTTTTAACTCTCATTAAGCGAAAAGATCATCTCATTTATGGTAGCAGTTGTTGGCGAATCGTGACATTAACAGATGGAAAAGGGCAGGGTGAAGAACCTGAAGGTTGTGAACTTGCTATCTTTTGGTCCAGTGTAAATTCATAAAGAGTCTGAACAAAGAAACAAGAAAGTGAACTGTCATGCTAGTGGACTGTGTCTCAGCTACCTAACAAAGCATTATTTAAGGAAAGGCAAGAGGTTCATATCTGTATGCATTAAGTCTCTCCTACAAACAGTGTAAAATAATAATAAGCATTCAGGAAGAACATTTTAAGTAAAACTATTCCAAAAATGACAACCTGTTGCATATAAAGGGGAAAAGGCTTGTCTGAAGTCAGCAGCCAGGACAGTGGCAATGCAGGGAATAAAATTCATGTTTCCCAATTCTTAGCCACTATAGCAAGTACCTTCTTAACACTAGACAAAGTGTGTATAAACCATTTATCTCATCTAATCAATTGCCTGCCATTGCAGAGGAGTCTGGATTGGGGGCATCTGTTTTTCTCATTTTCTATCTGCCTTCGGCAAAAAGCATAGTCTTCTGAGAACTGAAGTGCTAACTAAAGTCTTTGGGCTTAATTTAGGAGCTTGTGGGTGAAACTTAATGGTTTATGATATATGGGAGGTCAGAGCAGATGATCTAATAGTCCCCTCTCACCTTAAACCATATGAAACTATGTAGGCTCCTGAAATATGATAAAGCTAATAACAGTGTCACAGATCACAGTGATAAATGCTGAGCTAAACCTTCTGCTTGGCTGCAGTTTGAGAAAAAGCCTGTGAGCATCCCAGTGCTGTGTAGGGATTCAGCCTGCTACTGCATGCCAGACGAGAGCAGCAACAAAGGAACCTGAAATAGCTGCACCTAATATAGCCAGCATGTTTTATTAAAAAAGAAAACTGTTAAAACTCATACTTAAAATATGTATGCTAAATAGTACATTTGAGGGTGTGGTGTGCCAAAATGAAAACCTCAGTTTTTATTCTCAAGAATGAAATATGTTCTCTATAGAAGATGTTTGACTTTCTGAGAGTCTTTGGTTTAGCTGTATACACCATGACCATGTTCTGTTATTTTTTTCTCTTAAAAAGTTTATTACTTTGCCTCAATTCTTGAAGGACTAAGTCCTTTATTGTGACTTGAATTGAGGAAATTCTGGAAACTGGAATATAAGTGAGTTTCCAAAAGGATTGCTTATGTTACTCTGAACTCAACATGTACCAGTGAAAAGTGCTGCTAAAACAAAGGTTGAATGTCCTAGATGACACACTGAGCAGTACGCTTTATTCACTACAGTCTGGAATTGGAGGCTTCACTGAAGTTTGCTGAAAAACTACTATGGATTAGGAGCTAATTAGAAAGTTAGAAATTAGAAGCTAATTAGAAAGCTTCAGCAGTGGGATAATTTTGATTGCATAGAAATATGTTTGCTTTTTGTGTACATATACCAAGTAACACTTAGATGTATAGAGGCAAAATGAAGGTAAATGAAAACCAGATTTTGCTCCTGAGAAATGTACAGAGGCATCATCATTGCATTTCATCCCAATTGTTGTCATCCTTTTCTCCATGTCTTTTCCTTCACTTAGCAGCATGACTACTTTTGATATTGCTTTGAAGGATTGCTCAGCAGGTAGATCTTATGATGCAGTACACGGCATGGCTAGCTCTGCTGTCCTTGTGTAGTAAGAAGGGCCTAATGCCTTTTGAAGATTGACAAATGTGCATTTAGGGAAGAAGGATTTTGTGGATAAGCTTTATTTTTTCTCTCTTTTTAATTTCAAATCCTTATATACTGTCATTAAAACATAGGTAGGAATACTTAGATCATCTTTATGATAGGATTCTGGATAGAAGTGTATGAAATGAGATTGCTTTTTCATAAAATGTAAGAAAGAGGTGTTGGTATAATCAAAGCATGAGATAAAAAGATGGATATGAATTTTAGTTGTACAAGCATAGATAAGAAATGTCTTTTTAAATGTCATATAGAAAGTGTGATTTAGGTTTAGTCAGGATTTCAATATAAAGACCTAGATTAAGGAATCTAGAGATAAATACTACTTAAATATTATTTTAATTCATACAATAAACATAAGGAATCAGAAAATTACAAAATAACAAGCAACTGGCAAATTCATTTTTTTATTATTTTCTTCCTTCCACTGATAAATTTATATGCAAACCCAAATTTATATGCAAACCCAAACAGAATACTTTAGATCTAGATTATAACATTCTTAGGAACTGGAAATAAAAAAGAATGTTGTCCTAGCCAAAATAAAGTCAAGGAAGGAATTCCGAGATATATTTATGTTATCAAACACAAGTGCATATATTTCAGGAATGTGAAACTTTCCTTAAGCATCCATATTGACTGTGAGAATATAAATCATTTAGTTCAGCTCAGAAAAAAATCCTAAAAATATAAAAGAAACATCATGGAATAACTGTCAACTAACAAAACTAGGATTTTGATGGGGTTTCAGCTGACATAAAATGTTATTCTTCATCTTGCTCTGGGTTTCTGCCTAACCATAGCTTTAGACTGTTAGTGGCAAAGATGGAGAATACACACATACATACTGTGTTATACAAAGTGACTTGCATATTCTGATTCAGAATCCTACATCTTCTTCCTCCTTTCTGGTTATGATGCATATGAGACCTATATTGTATGTGACTGCAGATCTGATGGTTGGAAGTGCCCTTCCGGCTCTATTCAAAATGGAAAAATGAAAAGTACAATGAAACTGGCTTGTAGAAAAATACTCACGTAGTAATCAAATGGGACTATTTGAAATGTTGTATTAAAAGAACTATATTGCTATGAAAGTCTCCCCCACCTTTTCCGTGCAATACAGCATTATTCATGTTTGTCACTACCTCAAAAATTTCAAATAAAAAATTGAAGAGGGCAAACACACATTTTTACCTACATATATTGTTGATTTCTATTTATAGAACTGCATCAGAATGCACATATAGAAAGCTTATCCTGCAGCTGAAGAGAATGAATATTGTTGAGACACATTAAAACTCATTTTGTTTTTCAGCTCTGTTGAATATTACACATGGCCCAGTATGTCTTAGGGTTACTCTAACAACCTCACACTACCTAAAGGAGCCACATCCCTTGCTAGTGCAATCAATACAGTAATTCTGTCTTGCCACAGATTTTCAAAACTTACTCAGCCTGGCACACTACTTTTTAGGTTCCAGGAAAAAGCTGTCAGTGCTTTTGATGATGAGAGGTTTTTCTCATTCTTTGCATTTAGCAGCCACCGGGCTACAAAATCACTTCTCAGCTTTGTGGTTGCAACTCACATCTCGTGCCAGCTTTAGGTCATTTAAGTGCCTCTACACTGAAGAGATCTTGGGTTGTATGCAAGTTTTATATCCAATCCTATTTCAGGTTCGCAAGATTTAAACCTCTCTGAGGAATTCTATAGATGTAAATCACCCATGATATATAGATCTCAGATTTTCCCTGATTAGTTATATCTCAGTTCCCATAAAAAATGGTTATACGTTTACCAATAGATTTTTTGTCTAGTACACATAGATAGCATATTAGGGTTCCTTCTGATTATTGCTGACTGCAAAGAAACACTTTACCCAATGACAGGAAAATATTTTTATCCAGATGTAAAGTTAGAATATGAATCAAAGAGTACAACTTCTTTGTATACTGAAACTTGCATTTTGTATATGCATGCATATATTATTAATCACTTATGGATGCAATTTATTATTTGCTATTGAAGTAACATGTGTAACTGAGCCGTTTGAGATGAAGTGGGTGTGGGCATGTAAAATTTAGCATTAGCTTAGAGGAATTCAATGAAAAACTTTATTATATTTAACTCTAATGACCTTGTGGTGATAAGAGATGGCTTACTTTTTTATACAGACTACGTTATATTTGTTCAGTGCCTCCTATAAATCAAGAGGTGAAGTCCGGCAGGGCAGAGATGGAATTTTTCTGGATTTGTCCTGTTCTTTCCTTGCTAAAATGAAACACCAAGTAGCAGAGAGTAAGTGTTCACCTTTTGTGAAAGTCTTGCACATGGATCTATTTAATTGCTTTTCCTGCTTAATTCTTGAAGCAATACAGTGAACTGATAGAACAGGTGGTATCTCTTAACAGATGGATACTACACGCTAGCTGTCTTTTAAAGAACAGATGATTTTGATTTGCCTATCTGCTATCTTACTGTAACTGGGTTTTGAATGAGGTCATCCTAATTATGAATCATTTCACAGATGAGTGACTTCATTCTACTACCAATAAGAGTGATACTAGTCCCCTTCTGTAACATCTCTGTTATCGCTTGCAAGTATCCTTTCTCTCTTCTACCTCAACAGTTAAGATCTTTCTATCTACCTGTTTGTTTTAGCACAGTAAATACCAGATAAAACAGCTTAAGCTTACTTTATGTAGGGGAGGAGGCAAAAAGAAAAAGTGGAGTGTGCGTAAGTGAATTTTTAAACCCTATCTTCATGCAAGCAACATACTTTCCTTGGTGCTGGCTGTCAGGAATTCAATGTCAATAGGATGATACCTCAGTTTCCCCAGTCTGAAGAGGACATGGAATGGGATATAAGAGAGAACTCTGATGTAAGATTAGAAGTTCATGACAGATGGTTATATTTTCACAATCTACTACTAAATTAAATTAGATTTGTGGATAAAAATTTTGTGAGTGAATTTCATAAATTCATTTCAGACCTTTTCATTTAAACTGACAGAAGCAAATTATAGTACTATAGCACGTGCCATGATTTCACGCTTCTGCACTCTAGGAAATGAGAGGAAAATCTCAACAGGTTTCTCCCTGGTAAAACATTTTTAATTAGTAAACAATTCTGAAGCTGCACATTCAAAACATATCCTTACCATGCAAGCCATATTGTCACTTCCAATCACAGCACTTTCAGATTTTTCAGTGTATGCACAGGCCCACTTTTCCTTTTTTCCAAAGAGTGGAGAGAGTCAGTCCTGAACACTATTGATGTTTCTTGCCAGTTGGACTACCATAAAAACTTAGCCAAGTGTTCCTTTGTAGAGAAACATTACAGTATGAAATCCATGAGGTTTAAAAATAGAAACTAAACTGAGTGTTGAAAAATGTGAGGAAATGTCAAACTAATATGCATTTAGTTTAATGGAAGTGTTGTCAAAAATAATGTTTTCCAGTGATGGGTTTAACAGAGAGTGAAAAACAGAAACTTGAATGTATTTCATGACATCAGCTTGTTTTAATTCATAAGGAGGAGAAGCAATTAAAGCTCCTAGGCTATGATAAAGAGTGTTAAGTAAAATGAACAGGAGAAAATTGAACCACACTTCCAAAAGATTTGAAAAGACTTGGTAAACGTGATTGAAAAAAATGTTGTATGGAAAGCATAGTCTGCTTCTTGTTGTTTTGTTTCTTTGTTTGTTTTCACCAATTATTTTGATCTTCTTTCTCTTGGCAGAATTATATATCATACTTTTAGTGTGAGTGTCTTGGCAAGATATCCTCTTTCCCTACCTGTTTCTAAGTTGTAGTGGTACTAAGAGCAACAAATATTTAATCATCATTTTAATGTCGCAGAATTCAGCATCTGGAAGCCAATATTCACGCTGTGAGTTGTAACTCAATTCAGCCCCACTGTGTGTAGGAATTACAATACAGTCTTTAATTACGTAACCATATATTGATCATTATTTCCAGAGAATCACGATCCTATTCAGTGCACAAATAGTCAACCGAAATTAATGAGCTAACCTCAATATTTATTTTTCTCTTTGCTTTTGTGTTGATGTTATTTGCTGCAGTGTTCATACCTGTATTGAAAGCAGAACTCTTTTCTTAGGGAACTTCCTATGACATTTATCATCGATGTATTGGAATGCTTTACAAATATTAACACATTTATTCTTCAGTGCAGAATCAAAAGGGTATTAGTATCCTCTGCAGCCTTGGAGAAATGGAATGTATGCCAAAGCTGCATACTCAGTCTCACCTTTCTGACCCTAAATAAACCATTTGGGAAATAAAGAACAGAAACTAAAGAAAAAAATCTCCTGACTTCAATGTTATTTAATGTTATTTTAGATGAAGTTACGTAGACACAGTTTTTAGTCACTGGAAAATAATCAAAGGAACTGGTATACTAAAAGGAAGTGATAAGGAATGAGGATGATGTCTCAAACATAACACCTTTGGCAAATGCCGATTTCTCTCTATTGTATTGAAAACCAACCTATTCTTTTCACCCCAACTGCTTCTTTATACTAAGTTTAAGAACTTTCCTAGTATCATAGAAACATTTTGTATGGTAAAGGCAATGACAAAATGTAATCTGGAGTAGGATTCATTCATCTGTGGCAGGAGACTATTGTTTATCTTTCATCCTGTATCTTTAAAAATGTAGACTTGAAATAAGTGATCCATTTCTGCTTGCAATAGTACAATTCACTACTGAATCTTGGTT